AGCTCCTATTGGGTCAAATGAGGTGTCAGTCTAACCGGCGGAATGTAGGCTCCATTTTGCGATGAAAATCTCCGCTCTGTTGACACGGAACGTGAAGTTATGCCCGAAATATGATCGCGAGTTATCATATCTGCTGGCTAATTTGAAATGATGCAACAGCCCCCCCGTGGGTCTTTATGGACGTACTAATGTGTTTTGGACTAAATCGTTTACTGGATTCGATCGAGTGGAAGCTTAGCCACCTAGCAAGACCGTTTTTGCTGGACTAGCATGCAGAAGGGGGACGTTATGAATCATAATCGGTGAGTCACGGTGATATTTTATCGGCTATTTTTGGAGTGCTTGTTTGACAGAGACGTTAACTGTGCCTGCTGTTGTTATTGTATCTTGAAATGGTTTGCAGAAATCGAATTACAAGAACCGTAGCTTTCTAATGAGATATCACATTAATACTCATCGTTACAGGGCAGTTGTGTGCATAACACAAATATGCAGTTATCACTCTGACGGCCCGCCCGCGGACCGTCAGAGTGAGAAGATTTACGTTTACGTACGTTTTAAAGGGAAATTTATAAATGCCAAGTTGGACATGAAAGACCTGGATTGTGATTTGTAATATGCTTATGAAGTCTCGTCCTCAAGGATTTGTTGAGATCAGTCGTTGAAAAAAAATGCCCACATGCGTTTAAAGTCAGGCGACATAGCGCTCTGGTGGTGACTCTTTTCTGTCGGCCCAAAGGAGGATAAAGTGTGATGACATAGAGCCTCAAAGTCTGCAGGAGGAGCTCGCGGTGGATGGATGCATCTTGGAAATATCTGACTTTTATGCTGTTTGCTTCCTGTTTTTATTTAAAGCAACGGACTGCAGCACTGTGCCCAAGACAAATTCCTCCTTGGGGACAATAAAGTTGATCTATCTATCTAAATTGAAGGACTTGTTGGCTGACAAGCTGTGAGCCCCACGGGACTGAATCAGCTGACACAGTCTTAAAATGACTAAAATGTGTGTGCGTGTGTGCGGCTGCGCATCAGGCTTTGTATGAATTGTCCTACAAGCATCAGATGATAGAGCCGTGATAAAAACCTGAAATTAGAGACAAGGAGGACACGGAGGTAAATCAGATTTACGCGCACGATAAACACTCCTAAATCCAGCCGCCTGAATCCACAGTAACACAGAGCTCAGAGCCTCGCTTCAGACTCCACACACACACACACACACACACACACACACACACACACACACACATTGTATTCCTCTTTTCTACAAATCTTTACCTTCTGACTCTCTTGCTTGAATCACTTCTATAGCTTACATAACCCTCACACACAGTAGGGAGGTGGCGTTTACTTCCATTTATACTATAATCCCATCAAAACCCAGCCAAGGCCCATAATGGCCTCGAGGTATGGGATGGTACACACACACACACGCACAGTAATAAACGCCTCTCTAGCGACCCGGCTGTTCGAGGAAAACTATTAAAAGCTTTTTTTTGGAATTAACAGCTCAGGACTTTGTACAACCAATGAAACAATCGTAGTTAGCTTTTTAGTCAGAGTCTAAAAAAACATGACTCGTTTTCTTAAAAAGTAATGTCTAGTCTAGTACTTTAATAAACTGTGAATAACCAAATACACAGTGCTTTGTGGCGCAGCGGGGGTGGAGCTTCAGCATGTCGCCTGCAGGCTGCTGGTCAATGACTGCAGTTCACTTTGGCTGCTGGATGCTGAATTTACAACCGAACTCTTCTGCACCTCCCTGGAGTCAACCGTGGATGCATGAAGAGAAAAAGGATTCAAGTTGCTCAGCGGTGCATGAAGCAAAGAAAGTTGGATTTACTAGTATAGAATTTAACCCCGATGGTGATAATAATGATGATGTAAATATCGGCTATTCAAGGAGTTGATTTACCTCAAACACACTTATCGGCTGAATTACAGACGTCTCTTTCCCAATGTAGGTTTTGGGCCTCATGGCATCACGTGACGGACATTTAAGTGATTCTACTGTTCGGCCACAAATTTTCCTCAAAGCCCGGCGCTCTTCCTGATGAGCAAGCAGCGCTTTCAGGTGCCAAGCAAACCTTTACGACAGGGAACACATTCTGAATGGTTACGCGCTTTGAACAGGCACGGCTCAGTCTGTTTTCTCAGTGCAAATCAGAATGTATCTATTTCACCCCATTACGAATTCAAGGATTGTGTAATCTAAGCCAAACAAGACTGACTTTAAACGTTTTCTGTCACGACCACTTGAAGAAGTAGCTAAATATGACGGGTACGTTTCTGTACATGGTTTGGATCACATACACCTAAAAGCAATATTTATGGTGTAAGACTGGTTTGAATGGTGCAGCTCCATCTTGGATTAATCAAAGCTAAAAATCACTTTGTGTAAATATCTAGAAACCTGTTCCTGTCACGTTCTGCCATCGGACAAGATTCAGCAACATGTGTGCGGTGGTATTTTGTGCCCTTGGCAGTATGTCTGATATGCATAGATTTAGACACATGAGGCACCCACACATGCATGCATACATACATAGATAACACTCAAACACACAGTTGTCTTCTTGTTTTAGCTGCCGGGTCAGCAGGTTAATACCAGAGGACTATATCACACTTGGTAATTGCCACATATGCACACATGGCCATGCAAGAATGTGGTCAGTGTGGATAGAAGACAACACAGTGTCAACCCCATTGTTCTAGCTAGAAAATGGCCTAATTAAGTTAATAAGTTAAAGTTGGTAATATTGTTGTCCTTACCGGCGTGCGGGGTCGAAGGCGTCGCTGCCGTTTGAGATGTGCTCGGTTTTACCAGCGAGCAGGTCACCGGCGCTGCTGTTGGTCTTCGGCCCTTTTGGGTGACCTGCGTCTGGCGAGCTGTGTTGCAGAGAAGCCCGGGCCTTCTTTTCCTCCAGCATGGCCGAAAACACACACAGACATACAAACAACACGCTTACTCAATGGCTTTAATCACACACATGTACACACACGTCTACTTTTGAGTCTGATTTATTTCTTCGTTGAAAGCATGTCACGCCTCCAAATCCAAAGGTAAATCCCCAAAATGAAGAAGCTATTTTGTTAAGAAAAGAAGTTTCATACAAAAGTAAATGAGGGGCAAGAATTCCCGATGTAACAAAATCCACCCGCAGTCCTGGAAAATGAAGGCAATAGATCTGCTTTCATGGGGTGCAATAAATCAACTCTTAAAAAAAGAGCAAATGTAAGAAAATAAGTCTTCTCAAGTCTCAAGTCCTCCAGTATTCCGGAATTTCAACCCAGGTGTTCCAGAACTCGAGCGTTCCCGAGGGCTTAAAGCCATCAGTGGGATCTGAGCAGCGAGAGACTGGAAGGAGAAACGCTGCACGAAACGACACACTTCCCTCTGAGCCGGCAGCTGGAGAGACGGAGAGACGGGGAGAGAGAGAGAGAGACAGAGAGAGACAGAGAGACAGAGAGGTGGGGAAATAGAAAGAAGCGAGCGAGAGAGTCTTGAGGGCAAGAGAGAGAGAGAGAGGGAGAGCAAGGAAATTAGATGAGGGTGTCTGTAAGCTCACTAATAAAAGGAGGGGTCACTAAATATCACTTTCTACTATAAGTTTTACTAATTTTATTTCTCTTAAAAAGCACATGTGCCAGGACATCGGGTAACAAAGTTAGCTGCTATAACCCGCTACAAAATTGCAAGTGCTGCAGGGTTGATGTATCTTTGTGGGCCAAACCATACGTTAGCATCGCACTGGCTCCCTTGACAAAAGCGTTAATGGGATGTTTCCATTGGATTTTAGGTTATTGCAGAAAATAAGCTCTGTGGCAAACATGTTTGAAGTGTGAATCTCTTATGCTTGCGTGAACCACAGACCTAACTTCAAGCATTGAACCAAAAACCCACTTCGAGACGAGGGAACAAGAAGTGCAAAGACGCCGACTCATTTATCTGATGAGGGTGTTGGCACCAGAGATTATGGCCGACAAGTGAGAAACCCCTCCCCAGAGCCCAGAAACTCAGGGACTCACAGACTTCTATACAAACAGAGGAGTCGCCCCCTGCTGGTCATTAGAAAGAACGCAAGTTTAACGCACTTCTGCAGTGGCCTCACTTTTTGGAACCGGAGGTTGTCGCCTGGGTTTTTACAGGTGGAAATGTTCAGGGATCAGTTGCACCAGATCATCAGAGTCCTGAGGATTGATACCACATTTGTGATTCCTGACAAACTGAAATTGAGCTAAATTAGAGCCACACTGACTAAGCACAAACATAAATATGAAATAGTTCCAGTATATTTATGAATCAGTATGAGTAAGAACATGTATAGACAAAAGATCTTACATTTTATGAGATAATATAAATTGTTTTGGTTGCTGTTGGTGTCCTGTCCCTCACTGCCTGACTTAATGCTGACCTCTAGTGGTTCTAAGTGGTAAGTACATAGAAAGAAAAGTCTGCTTTACCAACATCTTATACATATTTAACAACAAAGATAGAAATTATATTTAAGTTGTAAAGGTGGACAAAATAAGGCTTACTAATGTTGCATATAAATATAAATACTTCACAACTTGTAAGGTGATTTGAAGTTAAAGTTGTGAAGAATTAAATAATAGAGTAAATTTAGAATGGAAATTCTGTATTTATTACGATATTGAAATAAAGAAATAATTGTAACCTTCTTGGAGACTACAACAATCAAGATTATTTGCAAGTTTTACAGCCTCAAGATATTTCACAGTCAGTCAGCAGGTAACCGAAGAGTTAACTTTATATTATTAAAACATAACACAACTTTTGGTGAGTTCATGCGTGAGAATTTAGCCGTCAGGAGGAACAAACGGGACCAAAAGTAAGAACCTTTACTTTCAATACTGCTGGTTGTTTCTTGGTACTAATTTGATATGCAGATTGTGAATATTAAACACAGAATATTTGACAAAAATTGCATAAAACTCATCATCCACATAATTAAAAATAAGAGACATTTGAGTCAGAGGACGTTGTTAAAAGTATTATTGTTTCACAATATACAAAAAAGAAAATCCAGCCACCGGAATAATATTGACAAAATCATACATTAGTAGTACATCAGTACAACATAGTGCAACGTGTTTCACAGGTCAGCGAGTACTTACATTAACCAGCCACAAGGGGGGGCAACAGCTCTGATAATTCTGTACAGTCCGAAATAAACCCGCAAATATTTACACTTCGACAGAGAACGAGACACCGACTGCTTTTTAATGATGCATCAGCGCAAATTCAGTTTGATTCAAGCGAGACAGATGCGACTTAAAAAAAAGAGAGAAGATGCTTAAATAAACCATTCTGTGTGAAGTCTTCAAGTCATTTCTTAAAGTGCCTCAAAACAGGTAAAACGGAACTTTTTTAAGTTAAAAGTTTAGCGGAATATGAAGAATTCTTTGATATGAATTATTTTCAAACACAAGCACATTAAATCAAAATGCCCCAAAATCCATGTGTGAGATGATCTGAATGCTGCTTACTCTCAATTAATGCCAATTAATTGATATACATCCTCTATCAATTACATTTCCCTCATCATATTATCTTGTTATGCCCCAAAAAGCACATTATGATATTTTAACACTTACAGTTTTAGACAAATTAGATGTAACATGTTAAATAGTGAGCCGTTACCTTTTGTTTCCATGTTTTCATGCTAAGCTAAGCTTACCGTACAGACGTGAGGTCATCAACCTTTTCTAATTTTTTTAAACTCTCAAACCAATATTTGCCTTTCCCAACAACATTTAACTACAAAAAAATAGATTTTATTTTCTAGTGTAGAGACAATAATCATTTAAAGAATAACAGAAATAAGCACATATTGTTCCTCACAGTACTCTGTGATTCGGGTTCATTATTGATTTCCCGCCCATTTGGTTTGATTATACAGCTCAGCGTCTCACTCAAACACCTCCCAGGGCTTCACTGTTTTTTATTTGCTATTGTTGCATTTCTCTGGAGGAAACTAAGATTTCATATAATTGTAGTTCACAGAAGTTACAACCTGTTTACATTATATTGTTGTGAATTTAACAGCAGCACCAGGCTTTGAAACAACATATTCTACCAACATTTGATAAGACTACCAGGTCAAAAACAAATCATTTAAAACATTTCTTTCTCTAGCTTTGTCCGTCTTTTATCTCAAACTACCATCTTTCTTTTTCTCTTCATTTAACAAATGAAAAACAAAAAACATGTCGTGCTTATAATGAAGATTTTCGGACAATCGACCCTTCGCTAAGTTCCGCCCCTTTAACGCAGACTGGCCAATCATAGCGTAGCATCAGTCAGCTCCGACCAGGGTCCGACAACTACCCGGCTCTGCTTCGCAGACTCTCGTGGTCTTCATCTTCAGGCTGCTTTTGTGGATTTTGAACTAGTCGTGGTTAGATATTGCGTAATAGTGATACTTTTAGTTGGAAGAACTGTAGCTTTAGCTTCTATCTTTATCTTTTTAAACAGTTTTCAGTGCTGAGTAAGGATACATCCTTCAAACACACTTCCGTCTGCTTTTCTCAGAAAACACTTATTCGCATTTCTTAAAATTAGGACAGCTTGACGGAGTAGAAGTGGGGGGGGCGGGGCTTAGCAGAGGGTCAATTGGCACCGTAAATCCAATCTGGCATGAATGTGGAGTTTGACTTTCAACATATTTTCTTCTCTCTTTGTCTCGTCTGTATCTCAACTCTTTCCCCTCCTTCTCTTCATCCACTTCCCCTCTCACCTACCTACCTCCCTTCCTTCCTTCTCCCCCCCCTTCTCTCTCTCTCTCTCTCTCTATGTGATGTTGTATATGGGGTCACTGATTTTCAGACACCTCCAGTAGATGGTTCTTGCCATGGTGAACAGAGCGAGCAGGATCAGCAGCACCCACGAGACGTAGATCCCTTTAGAGCTCTGGGCGGGCTTCCACGTACCAACCTGAACACACAGATTATCACCAAATTTACTTTACAGCCCACTCAAAAACTAGCCAAAAACTTGAAATTATGAAAACCGTAAAAGCAAAATCAAGACTGCAGTTTGTTCCACAAGCATTTTAGGAGTTCCTCTGAATAATTGAAGTTACTCAAATGTCTTCACACGCACCAGAAGTCCTGCAGTGGAGGCGACGAGGACAACAAACAGCAGGAAGCACAGTAGGCTCCTCCTCCTGGGGTACCGCCGACCAATAGAAGAGCTGGAAATAAAAAGGCAGAATAACATTTTAATAGTCGAAACAGAGAGGTGGATGGTGGGACCGTTTTTAAGGGGAATCGTTGAGGCTCTTACACTTTTCGGCAGTGTGGACATCGGGCCAAGGTCTGGTCTGAAAACTCCGTCCACTGGAAGAGAAACAGGAAGTGAAACGTTGAATAATTACAGAGAATAAAAATAAAGAAGTGAAATTTGCACCTTCAGTTATAATCAATGTCATCAGTATGTGTGTGTGTGTGTGTGTGTGTCCTACCAGGAATGTATTGGAGCAGTGTCCACAGATGATCCTGATGCCGACGGGCTGATACTGCGGTTCAGGACTTTCTCTGCCGATGTGAACTGGTCCCAGGTTTATGACGCGTTTACTGGCAAAACAAATAAAAATATTAAAGAAACCGTGAGCATAAACAACTAAGACTTCAACTGTATAAGAAACTAGAGAAGTGTGAGGAAAGCAGGTTGATTTTTATAATTAGTGTTTTCACTGTCTGAACTTTGAAGACTTTTAAACGCGTAATATGTAATTTTCTGCCACTAGCGGTCTCTCAATGAAAACAATAACAAAAGACGGAGTTTGGAGATGTCGTGAAGCAGCGTGGGATCATGGGAGTTGTAGTCTTTATTGCAGTCAGCTCTTCCCCTTCAGTGTTGATCGTTCAGGAGGTTTTTACCTCAGAGGTCTCCTCTTCTCTTCTTTAAAATCTGGGTTTCTACGACGCTGCTCGATAGACACGGGACGTCCCGAAGGGGCTCCGAGTCGAGCTGCTAACGTTTGTTTCTCTGATAACTCAAGATCCAGACGTCCAAAAACACATTAAAATTCTCTGAAACATAACCCCACAGTGTTTGTGTGTCTCACCAGTACGGTCGTGGACAGGCGATCCTCTGCGACGTGACTTTGCAGATCAGGAGACAGTTACACGGACAGCGGACGTACTTCTTTCCAACAGGGGCATTCTTTATTGGCTACAGAGAGGTGCGGATGAATAAACGAGAAGGAGAGAAGAATAAGGAAACGTGACAACCATCACGGAGTTTAAATAGTTTTCAGCAGTTCAGTTTTGAGCTCATCAGCAGAAATTCTTGAGAAGACTTCCTGAGACAGGAAAAACGAGTCTGGCTGGTGCATCACTGATGTTTTATGGTTCTTGACTGCAGTCGTTCTGAACATTCAGACGCTTTCAGCTTTGTGAAAACATGGTGAAGAGCTAATAAAACTCCTCTCTGTTATTATATTTTGATGTGATTTTACATTAGATAAAAATGTAAAAACTAAACTGCTGCAGCAGCAAAAACAAACGTATATAATTAATGTATAAACATACAATACAAACAATTTCTACGCTACCGTATGATACAGAGAGACAGAGAGAGACACACACAGAGAGAGAGACAGAGAGAGAGTGAGAGACAGAGAGAGAGGGAGAGAGAGAGAGAACGAGAGAGACAGACAGAGACAGAAAGACAGAGAGACAGATAGAGACAGGATCAGGACGGGTGTTGTTTTATGGGTTAGGGGGAGATTGGATGCGACCCTGACTCCTCCCCTGTGCGGCTCACCGTGGCTTCGTTGCAGATGCTGCACTTCACCACGTGCTGGTGCGTCTTGCCCTCCACCGATATGGCGCTCTGGCAGACCCGGCAGCTGATGATCGGAGCGCTGCCGCTGTCCGGGCTGCCCTGCAGCGAGTAAGGGGGCGGAGGCTCACCGGGGGCCACCGAGCTGGGGAACGGCGACAGACCTGGAGGAGACAGTTTAGTTACACATGAATACCAACACAAAGAGTCCACATGGCTGAAGACTGTGTTGTAGTCTGAGCAAAAGAATAAGTAAGCAAGATATACAAATCCAGGGTTTCCTGCAGGAACCTCATCACAGCTGATATACTCACAACTTACACTGAGTCATGTATTGGTCAAATAATGTGCATCAATGATGTCAGTTATCAGTGTGTGACACACCCGAAGGCCAAACTTTATCGAGTGTAACACAGGAAGGGAAGGAGAAAGGGTGTGAAACAGACTTATTAAGAAACAACACAAGAAGAGAGAAAGAAGAAGAGCTCAGCTTCACATTACTGTACTTTGAGTATAATCTGCTCATAATATGTACATATAAAATAAGGCTCGCAGAATCAGTAATCTCTTTTAAATGAATTCTTAAAACACATTTTGACAGACTGGCTTTCATGTGACGTCGTCGCTTTTCTTTTTTATTTGTTGATTTTACTTATATTTATA